TATACACACACACACACACATATATCTGTATATATATGTTACGAATGTTCCTAGAATTAGCACCTTATAGATTTTTGCCTAGAGTATAGCCTTTAACAAATTAGATTTTTGTTAAATTTTCTAAAAACATTCAAACCACCAAAGGTCACCAGATTTACATTCATATGTATTGTCAACACTATTCAAGAAAAAAAAAGCCACATTTTGTTCACTGTATTAATATTGAGAACAGCATTATAAAATAAATGATTGGATTCATAAATATTCTATTCATACTTAGTTTCAAATGCTAATTCATTAGGGTAGAAACTAGACTTTCAACATTAAGCTTATATATTTTCTCAAATGTTGGAACTCATGAAAGAAGACTCTAATTACATATTACTTTCATTTATCACAGATTTCTGATGCTACAATAAAGATTTCCAAAATACAAATTAACCTACAAAACTCAAATAAAAGCACACAGTATCACCATCAATTAATTTATGCTTACAAAATGATATATAATGTACATGAGGTATGATTCAGGCCAACTGCTTTAGTAACTTTTTCCAAAATAAGAGACAAAGATTACTCACGTTCAATTAACTTCTGAATGACCTCATGCCTCTGCTCTTGTTTACGATTATATCGCAGAAAAATGCACAGAGTTCGTGATGCTGCTCTTTGGACAGGTAAGACATTCTTAAAGAAATAAACAGGAAGACAATTATGCTAGCCTAAGATACATTCTCAACAACTATCCCCAGAAATCAGTTTCAAGCTATTGACTGAAAGAGGAGCGTTCGCGTTCACTGCCTTTCGGACTCCAAGCTCAAGCCTTCAGGAGTGGTCTCCATCACTTAATGCACCACTCAGGTGAGTCAACACTCCATCCTATTCCAAAGCTAACGGAACTTCACAGTCACGTTCAAATCATCCACGTTTGACTCTTATTTCCTTGACACCTCATCTTAAAGGACCTGTTTCTCAAATATGTTTCCATCATCCATCCTTTCAGTCACTGGAATAGCAACTATTACTTTGCATCCAACAAACATTTCCAAGAACATACCATGTGTCAGCTACATCGCAAAAATGTGCCACTTCTAAAACATGAATTTAGAGATCGCAGAACTAGATGTGCATTTGAATGATTTTGCTCGGTCCTGGATCTTCAACTTCAATATCATGCAGTAAGAGCTGTGGTCTGGGATAGAGATAAAGCTTCAAACCTGAAGGATACAATGCCAATCACTCTTATTGGGACAGATGAGGACCCAACTCTCCCTAACGGCACTGGGAAGGTGTTAAGAATTATTAAAAGCCCCATTAAACTTTTAAAGCACTATTAAAATCAATAATAATGTCAATAAGCTCTTATTATAAGTACTCCTGATGTCTATTTTCCTGTAAATATAAACAAATAAATATTCAATAAATAAATAATAAATAAAAGCAAGCTGGAGGATGGGGTGATGTAACTCCTGATAGCTTAGAAGTCTCTGGTCTGTCAGTCCAAAGCCGGCTGGAAGTCCCAGGACAATGGCAGCTGCTTGCTGTCAAAGCACAACTCCAGTTCCTGGAGGTGCAGGACTTTCCTTACAATCATCTCTATCCAAGCCAGAGGGGAAATGCTACTTCTAGTGGCCTAGGACAAGGACTGCTGTGATAGTGTCAATGGGACAATGCCATGATTGGTGTGAACACAGTCCTTCATTTACATGAAGGTCTGCTGTGACTGGTGCAAATGCTGCTTTTCTAGCTGTGAGAGCCAACTGTTCAACTCTGTGAGCCAAGTAGGAGACACTCCTCCATGCTGCTTCCCTTGACGCTGCAACATTAGACTAAAAATGGGCCTCCTCTGAAGGGCTTTTCTTGCCTCTTACAATCTTTATCATTAGTTATTAATAGTAGGGCAGGCTGAGCTGGTAACATGCAGAAAGAAGAGGAGGGGCAGAGACTGCACAGCAGCTGGTGGCTGAACTGTGGAAGTGGTGCCACCCAGAGCAGCCAGTGCATTTGATGGCTGCAGCAAAGGTAGGAGCCACAGGAGCGGCAGCAGAGCACAGTGGATGCCCCGGCTGTGACATGTGCAACAGTTCCCCAGCAGCAGCTGCAGCTCTGGCAGTGGTCTCAAAGACAAGAGGGGGCTGAAGAATTCAGGACAGGAACAAGGGAAACAGCAGGAGGACAGAGATGGAGACAGAAGGTCCAGAGCAGAGGCAAAAGAGGGCAGAAGTCTATAAGGAGCTAGAGGAGAGGAAAACACAGGTCCTGGGGCTGTTGAGACATAAGGGCCCAGGGTCTCAGGCAGTTTGGGCCTAGGTGCTGTAATGTAAGTCACTCTCAAGGGCTGGGACTTTAGATGCCTAAGCACAGAAGCTGCAAAGCTGGCCACTGTCCAGGGCCAAGGAACCTCAAATTTCTAGGCCTACAGGAGAGCCATGACACTTGTCGTCATAGATGTAAGGATCTTGGCACCCTGGGCCTACAGGAGAGCTACAGTATTTGTCACCTTACAGTATAGGTAAGGGTCCAGGTGCCCTAGACCTGCACAAGAAGCATTGGACTAGACAGTGTAGCACCAGGTAGAGCAAAAGGACCCCAGCCAGCTGACTGGTAACATCACCAGTATGCCAAACTCTTGTCCTTTGAAGTCCTACCATGCCATTAAGTAGAACCTTAATCCTAAATGAATTCAACCAGTTATACTTTTCTGGGAATTAGAGCAAAAGAAAAATAAAAAACAAAAAAACTAATATAATAAAGAAAAATCTCTGAACCAGGTACTTTGTGTCCACTGTAAATTCATGTTTGCCACCTGACTTACATATAAATACCACAATATGCCATTACCTAAGATCCAAACTACTATAGTGGGACTCCTTGACATTCAGTAGTACTTCGAGATGGTACTGTACTGTCTGTCCCCCTCCATCCTACACAAGCTGTCTCCAGTCTATCTGCAACTAAGCTATGTGATATTTTAAACTGTTGGATATAAAAGGAAGGTATCTGCTATGGTTTAGAACAGACATTTTAAGAAATGTATAATTCTCATAAATGAAGTTTCTCATGCAACAAAGGGCCAGGAACACAAAAGGTCTCAAATGGCAAAGCACAGAATATACAGAATGCTGGTCCTTGGACAGGACTCCTGTATTAAACTTCATCCACCCAGGGCTCAGGGACCATGGCAGAAGAGGGGGTAGAAAGATTGTAGAGCCAGGGAGGAGGTGCATGACCACATGGAAAGAGTCCTACAAGCTCCTGGGACCCTGCTCATATGAATCTACAGCAATGGTGTCAGCATACACAAGTCCCATGCAAACGCAAGCAGACAAAAACTCGACATAGAACTGGGGAAATGGTCAGCAGACCCCTATCTTAGCTGAAGAAATATTGGCAACTTATTACTGCTAGGTGAAGAAGAGCTGATCTTCCTAAAGCAAAGAACTCCAGATAACCTGAACTTGCACTGGGGACACTAACTAACTTGACACAATACACCTTAACACAAATGACAGTGAAGAGTCAAAATGCAAGAGTCAGAATACACTGACTCCATTTTGGCTAGTTGTTTCAAGCAAGCCTGGGCATGTAAAAGCCTTATAAGGTAAAAACAGAAACTTCTGGCCCCACAGATAACAGTCAGTGCATTCCACTGCCCTAAAGACAGCTCCTACCAATAAGAACCCTCCCTGTACTTAGGGCATAGGACCATCCAATCATTTTAAAGGATGCTTGGCGCCGCGCAGGCTTCTGTGAAACTTCCCTATAAAAGCCTACCCAACCCTAGATCGGGGCTCTCGGTACGGATCCGATATGTCGGTGAAATCTGAGGGCCTGAGCTTAAGCCCGAAAAAAAGCTCTTTGCTGTTGCATATACTCTCGACTCCTTGGTGGTCACTTGGGGTCACGAGATCTGGGCGTAACAATAGAATGTATGAATTTCAGTGGGGGGGGGCTGTGGGAGGGTGCCAGTGGGGAAGGGGGTATAAAGATGATTAAGATTGATTGAAATGTTTTGTATGAAATATACAAAAAAGTTCAATAAAAATAAATTTAAAGAAATATACATAATCAGAAATACAATAGAACTTAAAATGAATTTTAGACAGTGAACTAAACAAATGCCTATTACTCTTTTCTTCCATTTGGTGTAGAATGATAGAATTTCAAATGCATGTATACCAGTCATATGAAAATATACTTAGCTTATACCTCATATAATACATATATTATGTCTTATAGTACAAGGCAAATGTGCTTTGTAGATGAAATCAATGACAAATATAATGTCAAAAGCAGGGGAAAAAAGGGGGGCGGCTGGAGAGACGGCTCAGCAGTTAAGAGCACCGGCTGCTCTTGTAGAGGACCTGGGTTCAGTTCCCAGCACCCACATGGTGACTAACAAGCATCCATAACTCCAGTTCCAGGGGATCCAACATGCTCTTCTGATCTCCGTGGGCATTACATGATATGGGTGCACTTACGTACATGTAGGCAATATTCTCACATACACATAAGAAATAAAAAAATAAAAAAAATTTTAAAGCAGAAAAAAAGGGGGGCTGGGAGGATGGCTCAGGCAGGCAAGTGCCTGGTGCATAAGCGCAAGGACCTGAGTTCAGATCCCCAGCATCCGCGTGGTATGTATGGGAGCAGGTACCTGCTACCCCAGCATTAGGGGAAGGGGTGAGACAGTGGATCCCTGAAGCTCATTGGACAACCAGCCTGGCTGAATTAAAAAGCTCTAAGCTCAGGAGAGGCCCTGTCTCAAAAAATAAAGTGACAAGTTCTCAAGGGAGAAACCTCACATTGACCTGTGTCTTCCAAATGTACACACATATACACACCCACATGAAAATGTACACACACCCCTCCACACACATACATACATACACCAAGTAAAAGTACTAAAAATACAGCTCGAAGAAGTTATAATTTGAACACAAAGAATAATGATTCCAACCACTTAAAACATGGTTTAATATCCTTTAAAATAGGTCTAAAAGAGGAAGTCAGACAAAAAATCAAAAGAATTCTTTCTCAGCATTAGAAGTGGCTGAGGCTGGAGTGATGGCTCAGCAGTTAAGAGCACAGCTGCACTTGCAGAGGACTCAGGCTCGATTCCCAGCACCCATATGGCAGCTAGCAACCATCCATTAACTTCAGTTTCAGGGGATCTGACACCCTTTTCTGATCCCTGTGGGCACTGTATAACACGGGAGCACTTACACACATGCAGGCAATACACTCATACACGTAAAATAAAAATTAAAAAATATTTTTACAGTAGCTATTGTATCAATTTGCAGCTCTAATGATAGGAGGAAAAGGATTAGGAGTTTATTTAGAAACTGTATCTTAAAATGACCAAACAATCCTCACAGATGATGCAAAGTACTTCTTCACAGAATACCATCAAATATGCCTAAGATATGATGGAATTTCAGGAGTTCAAGACCAGTCTGGGCTACAAAAGCCCCTATCACCAGAAAAAAGATGAAAATTTTAAGTCATTCTTTAGCAAGTTCTAATACATTAACTGATTCCAGCTATAGATGCTAAACTAGTGAGTAAAAGGCTAGTCACCGGGTACTCAGAGTGTCACGAAATCAACTGCAGGCCGTAAGGGAACAAACAGCGCCAGTGTCACCTGTGTAAGTCCCGCTCACTCAGAGTGGAGCAACTATCCAGATATGGTATGGTATGTAACACAGCAGTACAAAGCATTCTGCAGAAACACTTAACCTAAATCTCAGCAAGCAACGACAAATATCCATCACTTTACAAGAAACACAGAGAACAGAAGAACAAGTTAAGACCACAAGGAAGCAATCCAGCAAGGAGAGTCAGAATATTCTACCAGAGGACTAGTCTCTTCCAAACTTCAACGTCATGGCATCATGGGGAGCAATAAGAGGGTAAATTCTAGATTAAAAGAGAGTTGAGAGATATAACAAGCAGGCATAGATCTTAACTGGATCCTGAAATCAAACAACTGTCAAGTACACTTTGGCTAGATGGGGGGGCCTGTAATCCTAGCACACAGAAGGCAGAGGCAAGGGTTGTTTGAGTTTTAGGTCAGCCTGGCTAGACAGCAAGATTCTCTGAAACCACAACAAAGAAAAAAGTAATTTTTCATATGTAGGGGGAATAATTGGAAAACATTTAATATGGACTGGAAATTAAATGACACTTAAGAATCATCAATTTTGTCAGGTATCTCCAACAGTGTACAAATTGTGTGAAAACAGGTCAACTTGTAACCCTGCCACCTAGAATAATGACTGGCACAGGGCACTTAATAAAGCTCAGTGAGTGACTATTATGACGAATATGTAACTAAAAATGGAAATCTGTGTGTCCATTTTGAACACAGAATGAGCTATAAGAATCAAGCACTCGCTTTAAAGTGTAAACACATCTCATGCCGGAAGTACTCACTGACTCTCACTGTGGGCCACTTCTGTTCTCTAACAGGACAAGAGTACAGATGACTGTGTCTTCCTCGTCTCCTACACACCATTCCTACCCAATAATGAGGTTGAGACCAACAACTAGGCACAAACTCCATCGCCCTTATCCCCACCTATTACTGTGTCTAGTTAATTTCTTAATCCCTGCTTCAGAACACAAACCCCACCAGAGTTCTGACTAACTGGCACTCCTTACCCTAGCTCTGCGAAAGTGCCTCATACCCAGAAGGCACTCACGTAACTGCTGAATGGCACTGGAAGTTCTACTCAGTTTTCTGTGAGATGGCCTATAATACATTCTCACAAAAGAGGAGGTGTGAGCTGGCTCAGCATGCAGAGGCACTTGGCTGCCAAGCCTGACAACCTGAGTTCGATCCCTGGAACTCACATGGAAGGAAAAACCCAAGGGCGCCCACAAGTTATCATCTTCTGACTTCCATACATTCACTATGGCATACCCATAAAGGCAAAAGTGATAAAGATGTTACCATAGCAAAGATGTTAATGAAGTCAATTTTTAAAAAAACATTTATTATTTTCATTTTATGTGTACGAGTGTATTGCCTACACATGTGAGTGCACCTGGGTGGTGCAATGCCGCGGAGGTCAGAAGAGGGTTTCTGATTTCCCCTGGAACTGGAGTCAAGGACGGTTCGTAGCCGCTATGTGGGTGCTGGGAATCGAACCCGGGTCCCCTGCAAGGGCAGTCAGTGCTCTTAACGGCCATCTCTGCAGCCCTGAAGTCAATTTTTAAGAGTTACACCTACAACATAATCTCTCAGTTTTCCACTGCTGTATACAATAAAATTCTCGAGTGGTAGGAATTCCAGGGGTTATCTTACTTTCTTACTTCAGTTGTAAATAATATCAATAGTGTTTTTTTTTCTCCTCTTTAAATCTGTAAAGCTAAACTAGATATTGAATTTCTGAACTGATTCAGATTCTCATTTCCCTTTTGTTGAGAACAATGAAAAGTTAAAATACATTTTTTTTTTCAGATTCTAAAATAGAACATATGGAGAGGTTCCCCACCACACATGGAAATTGAACCTATGACCTCCTGAGAGCTGGTCAACCTCTACCACTGAGTTACACCCCCCAGTGGTTAGAGCTTTTTTTAAACTTCAAAAAATATGTTACTACCATGTCAGAGTATATGTGCAGTGAACTCTGGTAAAGAACCCTCCCCAAAAGGTTTTTACACAAAGACAGAGGGCTGACTTTATGAGGTTCAAATGCAGCTCTTCTGAGCAGCGATTCCTTACTCCTTTCACCATAATATAAGGTTATCTCAACTGAGCCGTCCATGTTTCAGTGTGACACCGACCATTACACAGTTCCCAGGCAGACACTATAAAACACAAAATGCCTAGACTAATCCGTAGGGACCTATGGGGAGACATGGGAATAAAGGCCCTGTCAGCATGAGACACTGAAACTGTGGGTGGTATCAGAGGGCATATTGGAGCAGAAGTCCCTTGGCAGTTGACATCTAAGTCCAGTCAGCATTCCTCTCCAGAAGAACTGTGGTGAGACTGAGCTGAAGGGCTTGAGATGTAGCTCAGTCAGTAGAAAACTTGCCCAGCATTCATGAAGCCCTAGTTCAATGCTCAATACCCCATAAACCCCATAAACCAAGAAGGATGGCACATGCTTATAACCCCAGCTTTAGAGGCAGAAAGATCAGGAATTCAAGGTCATTTTTACCTACATAGAAAGTTTGAGGGCAGCCTGGGCTATAAGATCTCTATTTCAAAAAACAACAACAAAGAAAAATTTGAGGTAAGTCTATCAACATGCCACCCCCCACACCCCACCCCTCCACCCCAGCTGCAAACAGAAAGGGTACTTGTGAGTTGAATCACAGCTGTTCACACCTCCATACAGCAGGGGGTGGAAGGGCAAAGGGCAAACTAGAGGAGAAGCAAAGACATCCTGACCTGGGGGATGCTACCCTCCCAGGCTGACTCAGAGGCCCCAAGCTCCTCACACTTTGAAAATGTGAATAATGTGCCCAGTTCAACCCCAAGTCCAAAAGTGTCAGGTAAAAGGTGCAGGGCTCACATTTGTCATCACGATGGTGAACATTCTTTGTAAGAAACGGTAATAAATCTGATCGCTGGATATGATGTGAGGCAGACAGGCATATTTCTGCAGCAGCTTCTCGTGGGTCCTCCACTTGAGAGAGGCTGCAGCTCGCTGCTCAGCGGCCGTGAGAGCCGGGATCAAGTCAGGCAGAGAGGACAACTGGAAAGAAAGGCACGCAAAGAGCCAACAGTGACCAAGCTCTCCACCTTCAGCATGGAGCCTCAGCATCACTGAGGAAGGGTTTCAGAGTTTAGACGTCATCCCAGTTCTCACTGTGATGGAGTTATCTGGTGAAACAAACACTTTGAAAAATTCTTAAGTAAAATTAGTGCCTGGAAATGAGATGTTGAGAGACCAGACTCCTTCCTGTCGGGTTGATTGCCAAGACTACTACTTTGCCTGGAGCAACATTTCTTACATAGCACTGCTGGCAAGTTTGACCTTCTAAATTCCCACCATTTATCCTGTTTGGTATTCTTGGAATATTCATTAATATTGGAAACATGAATACAAATTCCAAAGACAATAAATAAGAATTGTGGTAACATAAGAACTACTCTGTAGGAACTGCAGAGGACAACGGAGCCGCTAAAATGCCAGTGGTCTTTCATGAGCACTACTAGTGGCAGGCACTGCTTTATTTAGTTGCTTGCATGTTTACTATAAAAACAAGTTCAATGGCTAGATAGTACTGTATTTGAAAATAATCTTCCTTTAGAGATTTTTCCACTTCACTGAGTCACCCATAGAGCAGAAGTGCTGGGAACGAGAAGGCAGAAGAGTACGTGACCTTTTGTGCCTTTGGTCCACAGCGCAGTCAGTACCCACCCTGAGGAAAGAGTGAGGAACTGAAGGCCCTAGCCTCACTCCACCTGCTGAGTAAATCTAGTGGGTCGTGCCTATTACTTCTCGGCCTTCTAATGCCTCCAGGAAAGGACAGGAATTTGGCCTTTCTAATTAATTATCAGCATCTCATGGTGACTCTCCCAAATATAGCTCAGGGGCAGGAATGTAACCTACCTCTCGTCCTCTTTCTGGAAAAGAAGGCTCATGGAAATTTGGGGTTTATTTTATTTTATTATTATTTTTAATCATATGTATATGTCTGTGTCTATATGGGAGTTTGTACACACTGAGTGCAGTGCCTGTGGAGGCTAGAAGAGGGTATCAGCTCCCCTTGAAGCTGGATTACAGGTCGTTTCTGGGAACCAAACTTGGGTCCTCTGCAAGAGCAGAACAAGTTCTTAACCTCTGAGCCATCTCTCCAACCCCCTCATCTAAGTTTGAAAGCCAGTTGGAGATGTGCTACCTGCCATTCCTGGGTCCTACCAAATGCACAGAGAGTTGGACACTCACCACCACGAGGCTCAAGCACCATTCCAAATGTTTCCTGTGCATTCCTTCACTGATTCCTCTCAACCACACTGTAGAGTAGGATAATACTGACAGTTCAGAGAGTTTTCTGGTAGATGATATTTACCTTATTTTCTTGAACACTGCTTTCTCCACCAGTGGTCATAAGTTCCAAGATTTCTGGAAGATGATTTATAAGAGCATCTAGTACCTTTTAATAGAGATATTGATTACTTTTATAGTGGTTATTATGTTTTTTTGACTAAATTAATTAAATCCATATTTCAACTTGACACAGAAATATTATTGACCAAACGCATTTGGGGGTTGCTATTTTCTTAGTCTGCCGTCTTCTTGCTGAAAAGTCTTAGAAAGATTTTGCCCTCCCCAGTCTAGTTTTTGAGAGATTTGTGCATCTTCCATTGGTCTAAATTGGAGACAGCTACCTCACTCCAGCTAACATACTCAGAACTGCTTTCCAACTTTGGAAAGAGACCTACATCAGGTAATATCCTCAGGTATTACCTGATGAACTGAGCCTCGGTAGGCTAACAGTCATTTAGGTGAATGGGATGTACTAAATCCAGCATTAAAATGAAGCATTCAGAAATCTTCACAAGTACATACATAAGGCACAATACCCCCTAAACAACGCTAAAAGAAAAATACAACATGGAAAATGATTACAAGTATGTAAAATAAAATAAAAACCTGTAACAGAAAAATATAACACTTAATAGAAAAACTACAATGTATAAACACTAGTGGTTTCAAGGGCTGTCTTTTGTCCACTGGTTGACATTTCCTAAATTTTTCTTAATAAACAAACACATACTTCATTTTAAAGTTGAACATACTTTAAGTCCCAATTTTTTAAAAAAAGATCAACCCAATGTAATACCGAGGAATAAGAACTTGTATTACCTCCAGTGATTCATCTTGTAATAATGTTATCAGTTCTTTGTGTATTAAATAGACTCCAGAATTCAGAAGTTTAGATACCTAAAATACAGCAGTAAAGTCTCTTAGACTTGAGGCTATTTAATGTGAAAAATAACATTTTTTAAAAAAAACTACATCCTTGCTAGATATTCCTTCTAAAATAAAATAAGTTATGACACAGATATGAAATTGATTTCTTGGAAATGGCAGTTGTACAAACAGCCAGTGTTTTAGTCTGCTTCCCAGCATACTGCTTTGTGTAGGCGTAGGGTGAGACTGGGTGGGAAAGTACAAAGGGTGGGATTCCCAAGCCAGAACTTCTGCATCACAAGCCACAATAAGCCCACGGATGCCTCTGATTCACATTTTTTTTTTTTTTTTTTTTACTTTACAGCACAACTTTTTTTTTTTTTTATTTCATACAGCAGAATTATCTGATTCACATTTTAAAGTCTTGGAGCAATCAACAGAGTCTTAAAGACACCCAAGACACACAAGTTATTTATTCTAGTTCATTGTTTCTCATACAAAGCAACTTCTACTGGAGACCTCTAGTGACATCTGGGCATAGTAACTCCAACAAGGCAAAACAACTTCCTCATTCTAACTAATTTTAATCCCTGTGAGAGGAATTGCCAATCTGGACCAACCCAGCTCAACGTATTTGGTTTTGTTCCTCTAAACAAATTCAGGGCCCACAATTTTTATGTGTTATCAGTGCTCTGCACCCATGTCCTGCAATGTCTGTGAAGGTCAGAAGACACCATTAGATCCCCTGGAAATGGAGTTACTGACTTGTTAGCCACCATATGGGTTCTGGGAACTGAATCCAGGTCCTCTGCAAGACCGGTCAGTGTTCTTAACCACTGAGCCATCTGTCCTGCCTATTTCACCTTTTAAGTGTAATAGGAGGAGGAGCCCATACTATAATGAGCTTGAGTGAAGTTTTTACTTGGGGGGAACATATTTTAAAATCCTTTGCTTTAGGTTGTTTAACAAATGTTGGAAATATTTTCAAAATAGCATTTTTCTGCTGGGCATGGTGGCACATGCCTTTAATCCAAGCACTCAGGAAGCAGAAGTAGGCAGATATCTGGGATCTCTGTGAGTTCAAGGACAGCCTGGTCCATGTATCAAGTTCCAGACCAGCTGGAGCTACAGGAAGATCCTGTCTCAAAACAAACATACAAAACCCCCAAAGTAGCATTTTTCTGAAAAATAAGAAATTACAACATAGCAATTAACAAATATATCATTAATACTAGATTAGAAAACTTTAAAATCCACTGGTGGATTTTCATTATTTAAAAGGACAAAATAAAATAAGCCCTTCTTGTTTAGGAACCGAACATCACTCTTAGCCTACACACGTGGTACAGTATGGAAACTGGCCACCCAGAAAGTGTGCAGAACACTAACCTCCAGGCTGGCTCCTATCACAGAGGTTTGGTATATATATGATATAATTCAGTATGTTCAATGTGTGTGCTCTGTCTACTACAAAATATAATTAAAATGAAAGATGAACAGAGGAGATTAAAATATCAACCTAAATAGCAGCTGAAGTATTACACAGACACTGCACTCTCGGAGCCCCCTCCTGTAGTTTTCCCTAGGTTGTGTGTGGGAACCAGCAGCTGAGGTATTACACAGACACTGCACTCTCGGAGCCCCCTCCTGTAGTTTTCCCTAGGTTGTGTGTGGGAACCAGCAGCTGAAGTATTACACAGACACTGCATTCTCGGAGCCCCCTCCTGTAGTTTTCCCTAGGTTGTGTGTGGGAACCAGTCTAAATGAATATGTATCTCGCAGACTCCAGTGGGAAGTACCTTCTGCCCTTCCCTTTTCTTCCTCCAGAAGTAAACTTCTGTAGGTACAGCTATAAAGATAATATAACTGTGCAACATGACAATTATTTTAAACAATTGTACCATTTAAGGAGAATCTCTCCTGAAGTTTGTACAATGAACATAAACTTCATCCATGTTATAAAAGTGCTATTTTAAAATTTTTATTTTATTTCTATCCTTTGTGTGTATGTGCATGTGACATGTGTTCACATGTGTGTGAGCACATGTGTATGTGTACAGGTGCACGTGCACATGCATGTGGAGGTCGGAGGTTGATGTCGGCTGAATTCCTTGACTGTTCACCACCTTCTATACTGAGGCAGAGTCTCTCACTTAAATCCAGAGCTCATGACTCAGCTAGTTGTCTCTACCTCCTAAGGGCTGGGATCAGAGGCAGGCTGCCATGCTCACCTGGCATTCACATGAGATCTACATTCCAATCCTCACACTTGCCAGACAAGCACTTTACTTAAGAACCATCTCCACATCCAGAAAAGTGTTATTTTAAGGAAGCAAAGAATATTGCTCAACAGCCAAAAGAATCTTAAATAACATCTGTAACGATCTGTGAGCATCCTGCACACTCTCGGCTAATTGAGCAGTGCTTTGACAATGGAAGCACAGGGCAAGGGAGACGGTGAGGAATTCCTACTGACAATAAGCACTACGCCATTTATAAAGAAAGAACATATTTTATCATACCAATTATGATGAGGTTGTCATGTGACTATTTTGAAATTGACAAGTTTTAGCCTATGTATCCTGAGGGTTAGTATAAATTGTCAACAGGACAGGATCTAGACTCGCTCTAGGAGTCAAACCTCTGGACATGTCTGTGAGGGAAGTTTTAGATTGGGCTAAGGTTGGAAGACCTACCCAGTCCTCGTCAGCTTCAGCTGTCAACTTGACACAACCTAGTGTCACCTGGGAAGAGAGAGCCTCAACCGAGGAATTCCTAGATCAGAATGACCTGTGAACATGTCTGTTGGACACTGTCTTGATCAATGATTGATGTGGAAGGGCCTAGCCCATGTAGGTGACACCATCCCTAGGCAGGTGGGCCTGGGCTGCGTAAGAAAGCCAGCTGAGGGCTGGAAAGATGGCTCAGCGGTTAAGAGCAATAGCTAATCTTGCAGAGGACTCGGGTTCAACTCCCAGCACCCATACGGCAACTAGCAACCATCCTCCAGTTCCTGGGGATCCTACGCCATCTTCTGACCTTCACCAGCATTTACATGCAGGCAGGCAATATACTCGTATACATAAAATAAAAATAATAAAATTTAAACAAAAAGAAAGTTAGGTAAGCTGAGTGGGATGACGCACACCTTTAATTCCAACACTGGCAAGGCAGAGGCAGATGAATTTGTGTGAGATGGAGGCTGGCCTGGTCTACATAGTGAGTTCTAGGCCAGCTGGGGATAAGGAGGACTGTCTCTCAAAACAACAACAAAAATACAAGAAATGAGAAAGCTGGCTAAGCAAGCCAGAGAGCGAGCCAGTGAGGAGATTCACCCATGAGTCCGCTTCATGCTCCTGCGTGAGCCAGTGAGGAGATTCACCCATGAGTCCGCTTCACGCTCCTGCGTGAGCCAGTGAGGAGCACTCACCATGTGTTCGCTTCACGCTCCTGCCTGCATTCTTGCTGACTGACTTCCTGAAAGGATGGACCGTGTGACCGAAGTATAGACCAAGATAAATCCTTCCTTCCTCCACACTGCTTCTATTCATGGTGTTTATCACAGCCACAAAGACGCAAACTAGGATGCATACTGACTGTGGGTGGCAGCACCACGGGCTGGGGG